TGTGTATTTTAATCTGCAAGAATTAGCTGATACTGTTCTGCACAGACATACTCTCCTGGGCAAAGCAGCAAACCACTCTCTGCCCCAAAACAATATTTCAAAATAGATTTTGCATCTCGTGGCTGACCCTGACAAGCCAGCTGCGCCTTAATGTTTCATTGGTCTTGTTAAAGCGTGAATTAGGAAACATCATGCATTCGTCACACATGTTAAGTCAACAGGTGACACGTCTTTTAAAGCGGGGGTACTTGCTAGTAAATAACTCGTGATGAGAAATACCAATTCCATTTCCTGTTATCACATATATAGTATATAAGCCTCTCAACTGGTGCATGTCTCCTAGTAAGAGTCCAGCTGTGGTGCAATGACGTTGATGCGTTCAGCAGCCAAATAGTCTAAATGAGCTTTTGTACACTACACTTGTACACAGTGTACAATACACTTCTATTGGATTAAAGTGTCCCATTGACCTTGGGTTAAAGTCAAGCATTGAGCCCGTTAGCTTACTAAATACATACTACAGTACTTTGTTTTGTGAGAGCAGTATAGTAGTTGCTTGCGTTTTTGCTGGAATTAAACCAATGTCTCAAACCTTTTAAAATCCTCCTTGACCTGAGCAGCTTCTCTTCATCGGCGAGGAGCTGATTTGTTAACATTTAAATGGTTAAATGAAAGACAAATGACTTCAAACCCCAGTCAAGTCATGGGTGTACCTCCCGGAGGAGGCTCGACATTACAGAGAAGCCGTCCTTCCAACTGCTCAGCTGTGCTCAGTTGAGCACCACGTAACCACAATGTCACAGAACAAAAACTGGCCTCCCTCCCCCCACTCGCTCCCTCAGCGTCTCTAACTCTGCCTACTTTATTCTGTCCAGTAAAGCAGAAAGACACTTCAATTTTTTTCCTAAAGTGAAGAGAAGCGAGGGAGAGTGCGTGGAAATGAGACAGCAGAGAGGAAACGGCAACACTCACTGTAGAGCGACTGTGAGATGCGGAGAGAAAAAAAGGCCCGATGAAGGTATAGAGAGATGAGCAGTAATCCCCTGAGGCAGATTTGTCTCCTGCTCACTGTCCTCATTCAGTTTGGCATTTCATTTTGCCTAAAAACTTCAAACGTGTGTTTGTGTGTGTGTGTGTGTGTGTGTGTGTTTGTGTAGGACTGTTTGTGCATTCACGTATGTACAGAACAGGAAGCTCAGGAAACAATCAGTACCATGCTGGGTGTACACCTGGTTGCTCCATGTGCTTACACACAAAAACTGTAGTTAAAATATGTGTCATTGCACGCGCATGCACGCACACACAGTCATACATACACACTCTGCTATGCTTTCTATGGTTGCAATTTCACCCGTTCTTCTTTTCCAGGCTTATAACATTTTTTCTGCTTCTGAACTAATCCTCTCTTCCCTTGTCTCCTCCCCTTCTTTCCTTCCTACCTTCCTATACCTTGTCTTCCTAACCATCTCCGTCCTGTTGTTCCTTGACATTCTCTCCGTCGCGGTCGTCCTTCCTCTCCTTTTACCATCTTGTGTCCGCCTCCTCCTTTTCTCTCCATAGAAGTATCGGTATCAAGAAGAGGAAGGGGCGTCGCCGGGTGCCCCAAAACTCCACCAACACCCCTGCCATCTGCACCCCATGGGAGCAGGCAGAGAGCTGAGGGACGGTGGGACCCTGGAGAGGGACGGGGGGACTCTGGAGAGGGACGCAGGGACCATGGGGAGGGACGAAGGCTTCTTGGGGAGGGACGGAGGAACCATGGGGAGGGATGGAGGGACCCTGGGGAGGGAGGGGAGAGGGGGGAGGGAGGCGGGCACCTTGAGGGAAGGGGGTACCTGGAGGAGAGAGGGAGGGGGCGCCGGGACCATGGAGAGAGTCAGGGAACGAACCCTGGGGAGGGACGGATCTCTCGGTCGCCGCGGCGACCTGCGGGGTGCGGAGCTGGTTCAGGTGGCGGAGCGGCAGCTGTCTCAGATTCAACACGTTCACGGATACGTCACTCACACACACATCACGCCCGCTCAGGTAACTAAGGCAGAGTGCCAAACACATGCACACACACACACACACACGCACACCAAAACACGTTAAAGTGACGCAGTCCGTCGGCTCCCCATCACATCTCATAAACATGCATGGCTCAAGGTTCACTGTTACATCATCGCGATTATGTCTGCCTGTCAATCCACACCTCAAAGTATCTTTGTTGAAGATATTATGTTCGAGGCCAGATGTCACTGATGTTGTCTGAAACATTTCGGTTATTTCTTATGATCTGCCTCAAGGACATTCCTCAATGGATCCTTTGTGAAGTCATACATTTTGATCATAATTTAAACCACTTTTTTTCTCCCAGACATTAATACTGTAACCTACCTGTTAACATACAATACAAAAAAAATACAAAAAATGTTTTTTTTACTCTTGGCCGAGATAATATTTAGAGGGAACACAGGACTCTGACAGCAGAGCGTTCACATCCTGTCAGTGGTCGTGTTCAGCCAACAAAAGCCTTCTGGTTGGAAAATAGGTGGTTTCGGTAAAATGCATCAAGTTACCGTCTCATCTTGATTAGATGGATCTTATCCTTGGATCTCATTGAAATAATGTTGTGTTTTGCCACCACTCATTTGTTTACACTGTTTTATTTGATTACACCAGTGATAGTGACTCTACAATGACTTTACAGTTCTCTGGGAACTGTTGGCTTTTCAAACCTTTTTTTTTAAATTTCACTGGATGAATTGCAAAATCATAATGGTACCAGCTTAAATTAGGCCCTTTTTCCATAGTCCCTTGCAAGATGACATGTTAGAGATACAATATGTTTATCCAACAGACACGCTACATATATATTGTGTTGTAATGGAAAGAGTCTAGTCCAAAAAATCTAATCTAAATCCAATCTAACTTGGACACTGTTTGTCAAGGTGGCAAAGGCAGACAAAAGTAAGGAGACCAGTTTTAGGATGGCTCCAGATTTAGAATAGGTGTCTTTTGAAAGACCCTAAAGTTAAATATACTGGCCTAAATATTCTTCCATGCACAGAGCCTTTCTTTGTGACAGGAGAATACTTTTGGGGAATTGTGCACGAACGGATTGAGTTGAATTCTTGCCCTATTTTTTAGTAATGCGAGTGTTCTGCACTCGGTCTGTGTCGGTCTGACTCCCTCTCTCTTTGTCTCTCTTTCTACTCCCCCTCCATCTCCCCCAAATGCACACTACTCATATTAGCACAGCATAGCCGGGTATTCTTTTTGTTTTGGTTGATCAGTCTGCAGATTAGTGCTTACATCTCTCTACTACTCTGCACCAAGAACACGCACACAAACGATCTGACATGTTCACACCTGTTTCCCTCCCTGACTAACACAAAAATACACACATTTCATTAAGGTCCATCATTTGTTTGTGAAAATATCTGTCGGCATGTGATTGACTGGATACAAATCCACATAGCTGTTTATTTCCACCAATAAACAGCTATCTTCTATATAACATATGTTATTGATCAAACTCTATTTATATTACTCTTTTCTGAAGTGCGTGTTTTAGTGTTGGCTAAATCATCAAATTCGAGCCATAACCCAATAAAATGATGCAGATTATTATCTATTATTATATTATTATTATTAGCAATATGTAGTTACTTGCTTACACATTTCATTTCATGCTAGTATTGATCAAACGGCCACTACTTCAGTGGTCTTTTTGCTCAAGAAAAGCCACAGGAGGCTTCATAGTTATTTTAAAACAGGTGACCGACAAACATAAAGCAGGATTTAAAATGGCTCAGGATTATTCTGCACCTTGGGCTTCCTCTCGATTTCATTGTCTTGTCTCATTTCTGTCATTTCCTGCATTTCTTCTCTTGTGCGCTGCAGGCAGTCAGAGCAGAGGAGTGTGCGTATTAGCATTTTATTCATATATTTTTTATTATACTCGTTAGTTTGTCTCTGAGTCAGTTGTCGGTCACAGCGGCTGCAAAGTTTGTCTGCCTGAAAAGCCTTGGACCTTTTCACCGAGGTGAAGAAACGTTTGGGTGTAGCTCCATCTGGTGGTTGGACACCACCTTCCCCTCACTTACGACCCATAAAACATTTCTCTGAATTCACCAGGGGTCGTGTAAGACCCATATGTGTATTGATACTGATGGATGGAATGATTTCTTGGATGGATGACGTTTGACCATCCGTAAAGCATTCTGCCATTGTGCGCTGTTTCCTCAGTGGTTACTTGTATCCTTGTAGCTCTCTTCACGGTCTCTGCTTAAAGGTTTCGATGTCCTCGCCCAGACCGCCGTTGTTATCATCCTCATCATCATCACCACATATTTTATCTGTGATGAGGAACTGCGGTGCTGATGGTGTATACAAGTATTCTAGGTTATTTTGAGAACTCCTCCCTTCTAAATGCTGTGTGTGTGTGTGTGTGTGTGTGTGTGTGTGTGTATGTGGGGGGTGGTTATGTGAATATATGTGTGAAAACACAGGAGCTGGATCTGGCTTGCTTTTGTGTGACAGATGGACCTGCCACCTTGTTCTCCCCATATACAAGTCCCTCCCTCTTTCTCTCTCTCTCTGTCATCTCGCTCTCACACACTTCTTTTGTAATTTATCTTAAGTGCACATTTGTATTACTTCTCAATACATCACGTTAATGAAATATATGATTGATGTGATATGTGATATATATCACGTTAATGATTAATATATAGGCTGTGTAGATATATATATATGTATATATATATATATATAGTACATTAAGGCACCTTCTGTTATCAGTACATACACAAGCTATGGAAATACGTACTGAGTATTTTGTCTCCTGCAGCTGTATCCCTTTCCCTTCTTTCTTAGATTAAAGATAGTTCTCTCAGACTGACGCCCATATCGTGTACTCAATCATCAGCCCGCAGTGCACCTTACATACTACCGTGCAACGGCACATGTGTGTATGTGTGTGTTGCACCATGCTGAGCTCTGTCTGTGCATCGTAGGTAGAATCGCCCGAGGCTCCCTTTGATGACGAGGCGTGGCCTCACCCAGAGGGAGACGGGCTAAACCAAGTCCCAGCTCCGCCTTTCTCCTCCCTCTATTCACGCCGCCGCGCCTACAACCAGGTAACCTCGCCTCTGAGCCCGTCGCATGCGTCCGTAGTTTTGTTCGTTTGTGACACGATGTTGTTTCCTGACTCGTCTGAAGTTCAGGTCACATGAGCATGACGTCGTTTTTTTTTTTTTAACGTTTTATTCCTTTTGTGTGAGACAGTTTTGTAGATATTTCTCCGCGGGAACTGTTGTTCCCACAGTTGTTGTTTTTGTGTTGTTGTCACCTTGCTTCATCAACCTCCAAGAAACAAGTGTCCCATGTAGTATTTTAACATCAGTAAAGTGCCGACAACCTCAAAATGGAACTCGTCCTCCATGCAAATCACTAAAGTGCCAGAGGTGTTGGTGGCAGATGGTGCAGGGGAGGAAAACTAAGGGAAACATAACCTACAACATGTTAATATGTAAAGATGCTGAAAAGGAGTCCGCAGGAATGGGACAACTTTAATATCCTCTTAAAGAAGATTCATGGTTTAGTTAAAAAGTCAAATAACAGCGAGACAATTACACCACTTTACTGTTCTGCAGCGTTTACACCAGGAAACAACAAACCTTATTTCATATTATAGTATTACGATGAACGATATCTTGTCTCATAGCACAATATCAATACACTACTGACATATTGCTCTTAGCACCTTTAAGTGCTTTTGGTTTCTCTAAACTACGTGAACACAGAGCGTGCTGTTGTGAATGTTGACATGGTTTTTTAAGGTGACAGTTTATGTATTTTTGTATTGAGCACATGACATGGATGTGATTATTACACAAGGTTGATTATTGTGATTATTACACAATATACAAAAAAAGATTCTTTACTGTTGGTATGCATGTAGCCTCGTACCCACCATCTCACTGTCCGAGCCTTATTGTCCTCTGTCTGGGTGCATAAAGTATATGCATGACATGCATATACTTGCATATACATACATAAAGTGCATAAAATACCAGTGGAAAGAGGACCGAGACAGTTTCTTCTTCCATCACCGACGGTCATTTTAGATTAGATGTAGTCGCAGTTTGTGGACTGCAGAAGGCAGTAGATGCAGAATAATAACCGCCATAGTGCATGGCACCTTTTCAAATGAAGATATGCAAAATGAAATGCACTGTTAAATATTCCAGCACTATTACAGAGTGCTGGAATATTTCTGGTAAAAGGGCTCAATAAATGAAATCGCAGGGTTTACGGTTTACAGTATTGGCAGATGCCTTACACAGTTTATGGTCGACTGAAGTAGAAATGCAGCCAACACTGCAGCTGTATAATTGACTTTACTTAAATAACTCCAGCTATAAAATGTTTATCTACTGCAGAGACTGAATTGGGAGGAACAGTAGAAAAGAAGCTTCTTGCTTTCTTTAAGAAAAAACACCGACAGTAAGACACACACGGGCCTGTGAGAGACCTTAGTGGCTGTAGTCTGTAGTCATTTAGCTGATGCAGATAATTAGGAAGGAAGGAAAGACCAAGATGGTCAGGGAGCGGCATGAGATGGGGTGAAGAGAGAATTACAGGCAGACAGACACGGTGACAGAGGGCAGATTTGTTGCTGGATGTTAATCAGCCACATCACTCCTCCTCAATGAATCTCGCCTTCCTGCTGATTCAGTAATTGAAATTAGGAGTAAGTAAGACTTTCAGTCTGCATTTACTGTAATGGTGAACAGGTGTATAGAGACTGCCCTAGCAGAGAGAACAACAAGGCAAGTGAGCGATCAAACCACATACATGTGTATTCAACAATCTCTCTGAAACTCTGCTCATCTCCTTGACTTTGATTTGATCGTTTTTAGAAATTACTAATAGGCTTAAACCCATTTTGTAGATCTCAAGTGCTTTAATATTTAATTAAACAACAGCCTGAGAATAACCTGACCCAACCCATTGAGTAGCTTATTATTATTATTTAGATATTTAGAGCTATGATATTCAACCTTCCATAGATAATCACCGGTATCATCCGCATCTGGCATTGCCTTTATGTGGGCCACGTCTTTGAGAGAAAAGGTCTTTGCAAATGTTTAAACCTGCAATAACTGATATTATAGCCATTGTCATATTATATTACGATCTTGGACTGACATGGCATTATGCATTGTGTAGTAACAGTTCCATTAGCCTTCATTTAGACTCCTGTTTATGTTCACTTGATGGATGTAAATCCAATATTCACTCCCATTTTAGCATTTTTCCTAAACTGCTTTATTTAGTTGCTGTCATAGTTTGTCTGCAATTCGGCTTTGAGCAGCTACTGGTTTGTGCGTTTGTGTAGGTGAAAAAAAAAGTTGTTGTTTACAATTGATGGAAATTCTTTGCATGTTTATCAGCGACTTTTGTCCCATTGCACAGGTATTTGGATCCGGCACCAATATAAAAGTATTGTGCAAAGAATAACCTGCGCTCCATAGTTAAGAAAAACACTCCCATCCACAAACACGATCTGAGATGCTGAATATCAACTATAGGATTGGGATTTAGCTGGTGCTTTGCTTTCTCTGCAGTGCTTTATTACTGCTCATCTATACCTCTAGTATCTACCAAGGGAGCTCGACATAGCTCTTGAAAATGCTCCTTACCAGAATCTGAACGGGGCCTAATGGATGGGCTGGGAGGGAGCCAAAAATGTTAGGAACCACTGGAATGGGCCGCAGTATAGATCTGACTGACGCCTGTGTTTCTAGCTGCACCAGCATCCCTTCATTGTTGGTGAGCGCAATGCAATATGGCACATTGCGTTGGGTTTGGTTGCCCACTGAAAAAATGCTTGTCCACCAAACATGTTCCGAATGTTCAGAACTTCAGAATTTACTTCTTCCAAAAATAACAAATTAATTTACTTCTTCCAAAAATAACAAATTAAACAAAAAATTGTGTGAGTACATTTACGGCTAAAATAAGTAGGGATGACGCCTCAAATCTGTGTCAGGGCGCAACACACATACCTGCATTGCTACTGGGTCAGGCGGTCTGGAATCCAGAATAGGACAGGACAGGAGAAGCAGAGGGTCACGCTCGCCTATCTTATCAAGACCCAGCCGACCTGTAGAGGATGAAAGGGCAAAGTTGTCTCTCTCAGCAGTCAGACATTAAACATGCATGACCTGTGCTTTTATTTAATTGGTCTTGAAATATTAATAAAGCCGTCAGTCACAGGCTGACATTTGACTTGAAACAGAGCGAGGAAGAGTGAAGGAAAGAGAGAGAGAGAGGGTTAGTTGTAATGTAGCCGGTGAATTGTTGCTGTGTCAGCTGACATGCCAGTTTATTGTAGTTGTTGTCATTGGGGCTTACTGCAGAAACAGATGACCTGATTCCAGTTCTAATTCATACTACCTTCTTACTATGGTTTTACCTTTATTAAAGTCTGCTGCAAACATACATCTATGCCATAGTTTAACCAGCAAGCCTTTAATCAACATGATGCCTTTTATTTTAGCATTTCTTTCAGCATTTTGGTCGAGAATATACATTTTTCATATCGATTTTTAAGCTAGTTTGGTTTATGATCAAATACATGCTAAACTGTCGATTTTCATCATATGGAGCTCACCTTGTGTTAAGTGCTGGCCAGCAAACGTTAGGGCTCACTAAGCAAAGATGTTTCAGCAACATCTATATATATTTTGAGCATGTTAGTTTATGTTTGTAGCACTTTTATCTTGTTTCAGATGGCATTAATGATTACATTTTTAGATTGTAAAGAAACTGCTGGTTAGATGTGTTGTTGAATGGCTTGAATCATACGTGTTGTTGAATGGCTTGAATACACATGTGAATTTTATTGAATGTCATAAATTTCCAACTGGCTAGCCAAGGTTAATGGGAATTTCTGAGCTGTCAATCACAATCCATGTTTTCAGCCAGCAGAGGTGTTGGTTTCCCCGACATGAGCAAACCTTTCAGGTTAATATACGAGCGATAATATCTGTAGCATTTGTAATTGCTTAGCGGCTTGGCCTGTCTGTACTGTTGTTTGTTAGTCAAACCAGATTGGGGGAATTTACACTTTACAAATCCCTCTCATCCACTTAATTTCCTTGTCCAACATCAGATTTTCTTTAAAAAAGTTAAATTAAAAACGTTCAGTGTTTGACCTAATCGGATGCAAGCCGCTGCACTAGTCAGCCGGTAGCAGGTGTATTTCAGGACTTGATAAGCCGTTTCCATAGACACCGTAGCCTTGGAGACCCCGGAAGAAGCTGTGACAGGAATCCCGCTCCACCTGTGGATTAATCCTCAGAGGAGCTAAGATAGCTGTGTATGCTAGCTGCACACCTCAGATACTGCTGGAAATGGCTGGGTTTGCTTTGTGGTAGTGAGCTAGTAATTGCGTCTAAGGCTGCTTGGAGGTACCTGCTTGAAGGTCACACGCCTGGCTGCTCGCTTGCCCTTGGCTTCGGCCATGCTGGCTTATTTACTGCACGCCGGAGCCTCTCGGCCTTGAGGCCGTGTCTGAGGGAAGCTGTGGGGACACCTGCTATCCCGGCTGAATACTTTCTCCTCGCGTCTTTTTGTATTCCTTTGTCTCAGTCGATGCCCAGCAACAGCCTGTTGTTTTCCATTCTAGAGTCGGACGTTCACGTGTATGTTTGCGAGTGAGCGTGTGTGGGGGAGCTGGGTGCTGCAGTGTCTGGAAACCGCCTCAGGGGAAGATCTCTCTACATCATGTACACATGCACACATAAATAAAACCGATCGACTGAGGCAGGCATGCACTTTGGCAATACACACACACACACACACACACACACACACACACACACATTAAAAGCATTTTTGTTGGTACATTGCTTCAGTGTCAATTGTTGTTACCAGGTGAAACTCCCCCTCTCTAATTTCACTCTTGCTGCTCTCGCTCTCCCAAACACACGATCACAGGCACATCTTCCTCTCGAGCACACCTACACAACCTGTTATGTCGTTATCTGTCTAGCCACCGCTAGCGTTTCATTTCTACTTCTGCGGCTCTCAGCTGTTTTCTGCCTCGTAGCTTACTCCATCTGCAACAGGCATCCGTGCATGTGTTTGTGTGTACACGCATGTGTGATGGCGTGTGTATTTGGACTAGGGGGAACGGAGGAGGGGAGGGGGCTCTGCCATGTCATTGGCCGTCTGGAATGTAGGGGCGTGGCTTGTAGCAGTAATGATATCTGACGGTGTGAGGGAGAGAAGCGTCAGGTTGCAGCTCCAATAAAAGACTGGAAAAGACAATTTGCTGAAAGACAAGCAGAAGGGGAGAGCGAGAGAGTGGGTGTGGGGTAGGTAGAAAAAGAGAGCTAGAGAAAGGGAGACTGAACAATGCACTGTACTGAAGAGCGAGCGAGACTTGGAGCGACATCACAGATGTAGGCGGGAGGGGAGCAGAAACGGAGAGAGTTGCAGTGCGATTCCTCCAACCATCCTCCCACTTCAGATGCTCTCCTCCTCGCCTGCATCCGTCCACCTCCCTCCTATCATCCATCCATCCAGCCAGCCAACCCTCCCTCTCGTCTTCCCTCCATATTTAATGGGAGCACAGTCAGTGACAGAAGGGGGATTGACTGGTCATCTCCTAGGGCAAGAGCGGAGGAGGCAGGGAGGGAGGAAGAGGTGGGGTGGAGGAAGACAGAGAGAAAGAGTGAACCCCCTTCAATAATCAATCCTCATATCCTGGCTCCCCCTCTATCGGTCTACTCTCTGAAGGGAGGAAAGGAAGGAGTTGAGGAGAGGAGATTTGGGACTACCCGAGATGTGGATGTTGGACATTTCCCCTCGCTATGAGAACACGGGAGGATGGAAAAATGGACGCACAACAAACAAAGTGCTGCGGAGCGATTGACGATGTACAAAGACCTTGACCGAAGAGGACTCTGTCTACCTGCCCTGCACTTTCCACCTCCTCCTCCATCTCCTCCTCATCTCTTCATCTTCCAGCTGCTCACACACTCCCGGGCGAGCCAAAGAAGAGGAAAGGGAGGACAAGGTGAAAACAATAAGTGAAAATGGAGACAAGGATGAATATAGCAACTTATTCTTCAGCAGAAAATTGGTGACGGAAAATAACAAAGTGCTGGACTTCATTTGACAGCAAACTGTAAGAGTTTCAGAGAAAGAAACAGCTGGCGAAGCGACACAGGCGACAAACGAAATGAAGCGCTACATCGGGACATCTTTCTTCTGCGTCTAAGGGAACCGCAGACAGCAGAGACGATGAACTATATTTTCGGCAACAACACCTTGTACCCCCGCAGCGCGAGGGTGGGCGGGGGTCAAGGCGCTGGTCACGGAGTCAAACATAAGCTGGGGCCCAAGCGGGCCTCCTCGGAGGAGATCCCACCTACCCACACCTCCTCGCCTTCCACCTCCTCTCCCGCCTCCTCCTCCCCCTCCACCTCCTCCTCCCGCTGGCAGCAGCTCCTTACGTTCTTCTCCAAGAGGAGCGCCTTCACAGACTGTATCGCCGCTGGCCAGGTAACATGCACGTCACACCCTCTTAGTGTGCGCGTGTTTTGTGCTTGAGGGGCGGTAGGGGATCAGGGTGGGAAGCATGTAACTTAACCTGGGCTTTTGTTGGGTCTGTGTGTGTGTGTGTGTGTGGCTTATCATTCCACTATTCTGTAGTTTCAGTCTCTTAGCCAAAGCAGGGAGGTGGCCGGGTGAAGCATGGCGTTTTGAAATTGAAGTTAAAGCAGCCCTCTGTTGATGGTTGAGATTTGTGATAGTGTTGTCATGGCAATGAGCATTGCCACGGCGTATGAGATCTAGAGAGCCGGTGCGTTGCCATGGCGAAGCCATCGCTTAGCTGCGTAGTCCAGTGGCAGAACGTGCTGAATACACATTGAAATCAAGACCAGCACCGTGAAAGATGTGAGGCTCGACAGTGACAACATGTTTGCATGGTACCTTTGTCAAACGTTTGGCACAATGATCGAACGGAATCCTGTTGGGGTTTTTTATACAAAATGTGGCTTTGCATCGCTTTTTACGTATAATGTCCACCAGACATTTCTCATTTTTGAGCAGGATTTAAGCAAGTTATATAATGCTAGAGTACATAGCAGACATATGTAGTAACACATGAGCTGCATGTGTTACTACAGCCACGGCCTCTATAGAGATACCATATAGAGAAAGGACCACCTCTGAACAATTGCGATCATAATACGCAGTTTTCAATGTATTACAAGGAAAGTAATGAGGGAATGTTCACATAATGGCCTGATAATAAACTATTATTAAACTATTAAACCTGCCATTACAGCCGTTGTCTAGTACAAGTCCAGCTAGCTGCCTGTTACACCAGCATTTCAATGGCCATTCCCAAGCTGATGCACAATTACAATACTGTGTCATAGTAATCTTTCTCTAGATAGGTGAAATAAAGGTATAACACTTATACAAATTCACCAGGGGTGTAGGCTCAAAGAAAGCCCCAGTATTCCTGTGTCGAACACACAGGACGCAGAACGTAAATAAACGTCATCATAGATGCAGCTCGCATAAATCTCTTAACTATTGTCCAAAGAAAATCAGACAACCTACAAAGGAGCTGGTAGCCTAGGAGCTTCTCACTTATAAAGATCTTTGCATGAGGCCTCTCGGGTGTTGACGCAAGCTGCTGCCACTGTTTGCAGTAAACAATTTTGCACAACACCCATCCCTCCCACTCCCACGCTGACAATAATGCATCAAAGTATGCAAAGTAAGTATCTGTTCAGATCCTTTAATCCAAACAGCCCTTTCATAAGACACCATCACAGTTGCTCCTTTTTTTGACAAAGACACAAGAATCCCTTTCATGTAGGTTTATTTAACGGCATCAGGTTCTGCCTTTTCCATTTTTTGACATGCTCTTCAGTGCAAACCATCCACACTTTGAAGAATGTTTGGGTCTTGATATTAATATCAGACTCTTATATTTAGGATGCTTGGTCGGACCCTGCTTGTCTTAGGAGAAGCATAAGGAAGAAATCTCAGCCCATTAGGAAACTGCTGCTGTCAGCTGAAAGTCTGTGACTGAGTCCTTCACCACATACTCAATTTCTAGTTCCTGAATTATACAAATCAC